CACTGAGTATCTGGGAGTATCTGAAAGCAAGGAGCATTCAAGAGAAGATCTGGAAGATCTGGTGCAGTAACAGTGTTGCTTAAGCAAATTGTAGTGCAGGCCAACTGACTCCCTGGCTTATTGAAGCATCTCCTGCTCTTTTTGCTGTCATTACAGAGCTAAGGAAAGGCCAGAGTGACACTTCCTATTCTCAGTTGGAAGCTGACCTTTGCGTAGCGTGACCAGGATGTAGATAAGAGAGTGTTGCTCTACCTAACTCCCACATGCCTAGGGGTTAAGCCCTACCTGTTAATTTTTTTCTAAAGCATTTTTGCCACACTCTTCAGCCCCCCCCCCAAAAAAAGTTTCCCAGGGTGGCTTATAGGCAAGTGACATTCAAGAGGTTGCCCAGAAGGGAATGAGACCCTCACGATGAAAAAAGATGCTTTCCGCACAGAAATTCACGCCGTGCTTAGACTCTGCCATCCTGTTTCTGAAGACTCTTTTCCCTCCTTCCCTCCCTCCCTCCTTCCTTCCTCTTCCCTTGCCCCCTGCAAGTTGCTTTTATATGCTGAAAGCGCCGCTGATATTTCAGCTCCCGGCTTTGATCAACAGCCAGCCTTAAAAGACAGAGAATGGAGCCTTACAAATCAGAAAGGAAGGCAAAGCGCTCTTAATGAAGAATGAAACCTCACTCCCTAAAAAGTGAACGCTGTGGGCGCGCAGAATGGCGATCATTAGCTTGGCATTGCTGCTGTCAGTCTCCGCTTATCATCTCATCTTTCCCCCTCCCCAGCTTCCCAGCTCCATTTGGCTGGCCTCCACTGTCGGCAAAAGCCAGACCTCAAGCTGTTCTCTTATTTGTAAGGAGTTCTTAAAGCTCCGCCCTAGGAACTTCATGATCTTATTTATTTATTTAGACCCCTGATTGTTCGCTCCGGACCAGACCAACTCTGTAAAGAGAAAGAGGGACCTTGCAGGGGTGTCATGAAGTTCGCTCACGCCCCCCACCCCCAATGCTGTGTAGGCTGTGGATTTCTTAAGGGACTCAGAGAATAATCCAGGTCCAAACAGCATCACTATTTGACTCATCCTAGGTTTGAAATAACCTCATGCAGCTTTTAGGATGCTATGGACATACTAGGCCTGGGTGGTCTCTCTGATCAACTTGACAGCAAGATTGGGACCACCACATAGTGGCTTACAAAAATAATGGAAACTGTCACAATGGCAGTTTGTTTAAAACAGCAGCAGATAAAAACCAAATCCAAAATGGCACAAGTTAAAAATTGCTAGCACAGCAAGTGTGTGTGTGTGTGCGTGTGTGTGTGTGTGTTAGAGAGAGGGAGAGAAATTTCCAAAGGGAAATCTGAAAAGGCCTTATCTCAATTTCCATACTCTGTCTGGGAGGGCAACTGAGGACCAACCATCTGATTCTACGACGAGTGCATTAGCAAGACTCATATAAGTTCCAAGTTACCCGGTTTCAATTCATCTTGTACAGTTTTGCTTTTGCTGCTTTTGGGTAAATGCATAAGAACATAAGGAGAACCCTGCTGGATCAGGCCAGTGGCTCATCCACTCCTGCCTCCTGTTCTCACAGCGGACGACCAGATGCCTTGGGGTGGGGGGTGGGGAGCCCACATAGAACCATTACCTCCCTTGAACCCCTCCCCTAGCCGCCAGCTGAGCCTGCCTCTGCCTTCCAAGATGACACCAGACACTGCCTGCATATTTCCCACACTATCTTCCCATCCACGAGACTAGCAAAAGCCTTTTATCTGTTGAAAAATTAACACTGAATGCCAAAATGGAATGCTTATTTTGGCGTTAAATGGTATCTAAGTAAAATAATGATGTTGTTGTTGATGATGATCCAGCTAATACAGGGAAAGGAACCCTGTAACCTCCCAGATGTTCCCATTATCTTTGACCATCGGCTCTGCTGGCTGGGGTTGATGGGAGCCGGGGCTCCCAGTGTTGTCCAAAGGGTCACAGGTTCCACGTCCCTGTCATGACAGCTTCTGAACTTGCAGAGCGTCATTGAAGGGACTTTCCTTCTTGCCTCGGCATGGAGGGCCCAGGCTCCTTTTATCTGAAGCATGTGCACCTCTGCACACACGTTGAATCTGTAGAAACGATAACAAAAGCAGGAGAAAGATAGATAAGAACGAGTAGCCCACCCCCAGTTTGTTAGGCTTTTTAATTAAACACTGTGAATATATTTAAATAATAGAGGCTCCAGGCTGAGCTGCATCTAATCGAAACCGATTAAGTCACCCGTCCACACTCGGATAGTTATTAATTCTGTTTGTTTATGCATGCTAGCTGAAGGCAGAGTTCCCGGCTGCCGTGGAGCCCCGTAATGCGCGGGGATGTTTGTGCAGCATGACGCTGGGGCCTTAATTAGCATCCTGATGTTGATTATGAAGAACAGCAGGCTTGCTAATTGAATTCACTTTACGACCCAGGACCCGGGTCGCCTTTGCAAAAATCAAGGGGAACTGGCTTGCGCTGGAGTTTGGGTTTGTGTGGGTGATACCGACAACCAGTTGGGAAGAGGGGAGAAAGCATCATCCTTCATTCTTAAAGCACCCTGAAATACACTTTTAAAGGATTTGGTCTTTATCATTACATCATGAATAGGAATCAGTATATTAATGCTTGTATTCTTTAGCCACGTCAGTATATAGATAGAAATAAAAGCCATAAAGTACATGTGTCCATGCTGTTAGCTTCAGATACTGGAATACAGTGGTACCTCGCAAGATGAATGCCTCGCAAGATGAAAAACTCGCAAGACGAAAGAGTTTTTCGTTTTTTGAGTTGCTTCGCAAGACGTAAAACAAAACCATCTTGCAAGTTTGTTTCCTTTTTCTTAAAACCGTTAATACCCAGGGTGCATTGCTTGAAGAGGTGAAGTTGCGACTTGACTTCGAGGAGCAACTCATAGCACACGGTGTGGTAGCCTTTTTTGAGGTTTTTGAAGACTTTGGTGATTTGAAGACAGTGGTGCTTCGCAAGACGAAAAATTCGCAAGACGAAAAAACTCGCAGAACGAATTAATTTCGTCTTGCGAGGCACCACTGTAATTGATAGATGGGGCACCTCATAAATGTACACATTTACTAATACTCAATACTCTAAAAAGTGGAAGGCAGGGGGATATTCTCTTACTGTAGGGGTAGACAACCAGACACCCTGCAGATTTTTTTTTTAACCAAAGGCAAAGCAAATTTGGAATAAGAGTTCTGGATTCATAGGAAGCTGCCATATAGAGTCAGACTCCTGGTCAATCAAGCTTAGTATTGCCTTCACTGACTGGCAGCAGCTGTCCATGGTTTCAGACAAGCTCTTTCAAGTGCAGACATATTCTACATATCCTAGCATTCAAATTCTCTGCTACCTGGTGTCCATTGTAGCTGAATTTTAAAGTGTCCCAATGTTAGATACCTTATAGGGAAAAATAGGATACTGAGTGATGCACAATCCTAGATTTGTCTCTCTGGAAATCTCACACTGTAACCTTAACTGTAACTTTCATCTTGAAGTATACCACCTTTTAAATATTTTAGGTAGCTTTGTTTGGGGGTGGGGGATGTTGCATGATTGGAAGTAAACAACCCCGATTCAAATAACCTCTTAACTTTATATCCAAGGGTGGTTAATCCTTGAGGGCGGTAAACCTTAATTGGCCATGTTCGTGGATTTACAAGTTCATAAATTTTAAAGCACCATTCAACACCTGGCTTCATGTTTAAAGCTCCATTTGTTACAAATACAAATTAAAATCCCCCTTCTTGCCCGCCCCCTCCAAAAAATAGCAAGATACGGCAAACTAAATTTTCCCCAATGCACTTGTAGATGTTTGTAATGCAATGAACTGAGATTGCCCGGACAAGACATTAGTTGCGTGGCTTTCATCATCTCAAAATGCTTCCTGGTTTATCTGTTCTCGAGGAGAGGAACAAAACATCTTTTCATCCTTGGTTCATTTGAAACCAGACATTGTAGAGTGCCTAAAAGGGCAGAGCTGCTTACTGGGGCAAAAAGACCATGAATTTAAAGTGCAATTAACAGAACATAAGACGGGCCTGGCTGCTGGATCAGGTCAATGACCCTTACAGGCCAGCAGCCTGTTCTCACAGCGGCTCAACCAGACGCCTGTGGGAAGTCCAGTAGCCAAGCTTGAGCCCAGTAGCACTTCCTACCTGTGACTGCCAGCAACTGGTACCCAGAGGCGTAATGCATAATGGAAGAACATCCCCTTTTAACAGCATGACAATGGGCTGGGGGCATGGGGTGGGAGGATGAACCAGTTCAACAGAGCATGGTGTTATACCAGAGTGTGCAATTATAAAGTGGGCATAGTAAGAAGAATTCAACATTCGGTGAAAACAAGATTTGTATGCACAAAATTCTGAGCCCACAGTGAAAGGATCTCTGCTAGCAGGATTATTTTTAATGGGTTTTGTCCAACTTAAGTTTATTAAGAGCCGATGCACAAATAAATTGGGAGTTGTATAATTTGTGGGGCCACCACCAAGAAGGTACTTTTCCCTGCACATGACAGCCTAATTGATCTTAACTGCAGGCATGCAAAAAGGACCTCTGAATCAGACCTTAGTTCCTAGGTAGGGCTATGTGGATGAAGTTGCTCCTTCAGATAACCTGTTCCAAACCTGTTTAGAGTGATAACCAAAGTAGCAGGTGCAAAAAATGGGTGCTTATGTGTGCAGGCTTCCTATACCTCAAAAGGGTTGTTGCAAAGATGAAATAGGAGAAGGGAGAACAGTGGATGTTCCTTTGATCAACTTGGAGGAAAGGCAGGAGATAAATTTAATTAATAACACCCCCAAGCTTCAGATTGCTAATTCTAAAACCCACCTATTGGGGATATTGGAGTTGTCCCAACTTTGATAGCGGGGTGCTTGGATGTGCAAGGTGGAATCAATTTTGGACTGCCCAAGCAAGTTTTCTCACCACTGCAGCTTCATTCACAATTAGATCTATTGGAGAAGGGCTGTAGCTTACTGGAATAGCATCTGCTTTGCATGCAGAAGGTCCCAGGTTCCATCACCAGCCTTTCCTGTTGAGCCTGAGAATGTTCCCTCTTATGTTATTTTATCTGTTTTTTAAACAAAATTTATATCCTGCTTGAATAGAAAGAAGAAAACCTCTAAGTGGTTTGCAAAGATATGAAACATAACATTAACATTACTGATAAACAGTTAAAAATAGGTATTAAAAAATACTAACATGACGATTGCAACAAACAGGAGCTAAAAATAAATAATACACACTTCTGATGTATCTGGAGAGGCTTGCCTAAACAAAAGCATTTTAAGTCTGTGTCAGAATGACTACAGTGAAGGGTTCATTGCCACATGTAAATAGGCAGGGAGTTCCAAAGTGTGGGTTCTGCCACACTAATTGATAGATTCCCTACAAATGTCTGAAAAACCAGGAGAGCTGTTCCCAGTGAGTGTGTAGACACTGCTGAGCTAGATGGACCCAGGGGTCTGACTCAGTATAAGGCAGCTTCCGATGTTCCTGTTGAATCCACCCAGGGCCTTGACTTCCAAACAGGGCGACTCTGGTGCCTTCTGCTCATTCATGTTGGTTCCTGAACTGCTGCCAATAATTGTTAGCTTTCTCCTAGCTTCCTTTATATCTTTGCTTGCTTTAACCTGCCATATGCTTGATCCGATGTTTCTCTGCCTCGTGGAATATTTTTAGATATTATGCCCTTGCCATATTGACAGTCTTCACCCCTTCCCACCCGCGTCTCACAAATATTTACACTGGTGAGTTGCCCTTGCTAAAAGGTCTTGCTTTCTTTTATATATTGGAGACCAGAAGCTAAATAGCCAAACAAATTTGTAATGGCAACAGTATTTTTTTTAATTTGGCACAGACATCCTTAATCAAGGAGGATTTTCAGAAAATATTCTAGTCTCATATGTCCTTTGCTTCATGCAGAAAAAAAAGGTGGGGGCCGTTTTTCATTCTTGCTGGGGGCGGTGAGGGAGGGTAGGAAGGAAGAAATCTACTGCTCAAAAGATTAATAAATGCTATAGACTTTGGCTGTTGAAACTGCATATTTCATCTCATTTTCAAGGGTGCCTTTTCTTCCTTTAAGAAAAAATGGTGATTGCTTACGCTCTCAGCTGTTCGCAGTCATTTTCCAGTGTTCATTTAAAAAAGGAGAACAAGACACAAGGTGGCTCAAAGGGCTGCATTTGTTCTCTCCCAAAGCAATTTATTTCATAAACAAAAGAGGGCCAATACCATTATCCTTTGTAGTTCCTTAGCAACAGAACTCGAGTCATTTTAGCTGGTGCGCTCTCTCGCTCTGTGTGTGTGTTTGTAAAATGCACATCTTGTTCCTTCTGTGTCTAGAAACATTTAACGGCACAGCTTTGCAACTTAAACAAAGACCCATTGCTTGGAAGATGCTGTAAAACCTGAAATCTGTCTCTCTGTGTCTCTCTCCCTCTCATCCACTGGCAGGATTCCGTCTCTACCCTTTCTTTTGCCTTCCTCTTCACAAATGATATGCGGCCAAGAGATCCAAAGAAAGGGACTCGAGAAAATATGTGGCTGGGGTTTGTGATTTACTGCAGTCGGCCTAGAAAAATGCCACAGGGTAGGCATGTGAGTCCCCTTGAGGAGCAATAGTCGGGGGGAGGGGAACATTCCTTACCTTACCTCTGTGCTTCAGCTTGGTGTAGCAAACAGTGGGGCAGAGTTGGGCTGAACACTCAAGTGACATAAGCATGTTGGGGTGGGAAGGATTCCTCCGCAGAGGCTCAAGGATAGTTTGCATTCAGCTGAAAGCACATTGGGTGTCATTGCATATTCATCACCACCTCTCTGCACATAGGTGAGGGTGCAGGCTTAAGGCTTGCTCCCAAACTCTCCCACCCTGTTGGATTAGACCAGGCATAGGCATAATCAGCCCTCCAGATGATTTGGGACTACAACTCCCATCATCCCTAGCTAACAGGACCAGTGGTCCAGGATGATGGGAGTTGTAGTCCCAAAACATCTGGAGAGCCGAGTTTGCCTATGCCTGGATTAGACAAATTCATGAAGGCTGTCAATGGCTACTGGCTGTGATGGGAGTGCTCTGTCTCCAAGAATGCTTCTGAAAACCAGTTCTTGGAAACTGCAAGAGGGGAGAGTGCTCTTGTGCTCGGATCTTGTTTGAGGGTTCCCCTAGTTGGCCACTGTGAGAACAGGATACTGGACTCGATGGGCCATTAGCTTGATCCAGGAGGCACTTCTTGTGTTCTTAAACCCGGTGCCTCACTCTTCTCCAAGCGGAGAGAAGACAAGGATTTTCTGGTGTGGTGCTACGCTGGGATTTCCTTTCTTTTTTTTCTTTTCACGAGAGAGTACTGCAAACTTGGACACTTGTTAGTTTTTGTTTGATGTATCCATATTCCAGCTAAGCCTAAATAAAAGCAAAAATCAGGCACTCCTTTGAAAGCAGCAGATCCCACTACCCTGCATTGGATTCCCGGGGTGCACTCTATGGCGCAGTTTGCATGTAACACTAAACTATGGTTTAGCGCTGCATAGAAGAGCCTACCCAAGCATAAGCAAAGCCCTAGACGTGGGTATTCCCCACCACTGGCCCCACACATGTAAGGAGGGCTTGGTTCCACTTTTATGGAACCTTGCCTTAATGTCACAGTTCAGACCAGGGACCTTGGTCTAAAACAAACGCTGGCTATTTTAGTAAGCCTAAGCCAGCAATCGTAGCCACGGTTTAACGTTAGCTTATTAAGAAACTGATCCAGGTGGGTTTTAAACCAAGGTTTCAAACAGAATATCAAACTGAGGTTCCTTAAAGGCGGCAGTAGACTCTAGCTGAAGCCCTGGACATAGGGAAGGTGTACACGAGTCCAGGGCTGTGCTTGGGCTTGTTCAGACTCCTCTGTGGTTTACCGTGATTTGCAAACACAGCCTCTGTGCCTCCAGTCAAATGGCAGCATATGCACACTGTGTGTATAAGAGACCCAGTGTGAGCAGCCCTGCTCACCTGTTCCTGTTGCTTGTTTTCTCTCACACACACATACACACAGAGAGAGAGACTGCTATACAATGTGGGGTTCCTCATGTGTCAGAGGACAGGCCTTACGAAAAGGGCTGTGGTGAGGATAATGTTCAGCGAGGGCTTAAGAGAAAATCCGCAAAGGGGTTTTTAAACTAAAGAAATTGTTCATGTGAACGTGGCCTTTGAATCCGCACGGTGGCAGTGGCATTAAATCAGTTTGATCTATACGAGGATGAGATTTCCCCGTTTATAAACGAGGTCCACTGGAGCACTGCTGGTGAGGGGTATAGAGACTGACAGCTCGGATTATATAAGGAGAAGTCCTTGAGGGTGAATCTCTAGTTTTGAGGGAGCTAATGTCAGCCAGCTTCACAATGCTCAAAGCCAATGACCGGCGACTGGCTGCCAGTGGTTGTGCCAAAACTGGAAAGCCGAATTAGAATAATCTGTCATGAGGCTGTATTGAGAAGACGGGGAGACGGGGATAGAAATGGGTTGGTTGATGTCTGAGTTTTCACTCCCGCATTTTTCCCTTCCTTGTTTTGCTTTTCTTTTCTCCTCCTTTTAATTGAGAGAAGGTTTGCAAATAATGGTGTGTGGGCTCTTCTCTAAAGCTAGCCACCTGGTGGCAGTAGCTGGGCTCCGCAGGAGAGCTGATCATCCCACCATCACCATACTTAGGAAATTGTTCCTAAGTATTGTTAGTATTTCTAATGCTTTCGTTCCCTTTCTAGAAATAACTTTGTAGGGCATCCTACAAAGCAAAATACAAAATGTAGCAACCAGATAATCTAAAACAGAATTCACAAGCGTTCACAAGCAGCAAAAGTTGCATCTCTCTCAATTAAAAAAAGAAATACAGTGGTACCTCGGGTTACATACGCTTCAGGTTACATACGCTTCAGGTTACAGACTCTGCTAACCCAGAAATAGTGCTTCAGGTTAAGAACTTTGCTTCAGGATGAGAACTGAAATCGTGTTCTGGCGGCGTGGCGGCAGCAGGAGGACCCATTAGCTAAAGTGCTGCTTCAAGTTAAGAACAGTTTCAAGTTAAGAACGGACCTCCGGAATGAATTAAGTACTTAACCCGAGGTACCACTGTAAACCCAAGAAAGCCTGCTATAACACAACTACCCCAAAATGAAGCTTGACTGCAGCAGGTGCCCCTCCCTGAAGATTCCCTTTCTAATTCTGTACCCAAAGAAAATCCAAAACACACCACAACTTTATCTGCATTTGAATCTAGAACAACCTGGTGCCTCCCTGATGGTTTGACCCACCAGCACGGGGGCTGATGGGAGTGGGAGTCCAACACATCTGGAGGGCACCCAGTTGATCGAAGACTGGTCTGGAATATAGCCCAAGAATAACCTTTAGAACCTTTGCCATGCATCTCCCTCCCCCTTTCCGAATCCTAAAATGGTAGCACTGAGCCCCACAGCACATGTGATAGCCAGAAAATGGCCATAGGGCCTGCTTTGGGGCAGCTCAACTGCTGCTCCTTTCATGGCTGTCAAATCTTCTGGGGTAATCTGGCTTGTGGGGAAATGATTCTGCCGAAGAACTGTAACTCCCCTAAATGTGGGTGTGGAAGGAGAGTCTAGTTGGTGCTGTGTTAGTCTATTAAGAGCAGATAGATGGTTCAGATGTTACCTGAGTGCAGCACGCCAGCTGTGCTTTGTAGAGGAGGATGAGTGGATGGATGGGCACTCACTCGCATTCCCAGAGCTGGAATTGGCATAGAGAGAGAGAGAGAGAAAGAGAGAGAGAGAGAGAGATGAGTCCAGTGCTTAATTCTGCAAAAACAGAGGATGCTTTATCTCTGTAGAAGTAGCCTCTTGTGGGGCAGGGGATAATACTGTTGATTTAAGCAGAGTCTGGTTGCCCAGCGGAAGGATGAGTAATACGTGCTACATACTCTATATTGCTTTATTTACAGTTCAAAGCTGGTATATTACAGAAAGACATCTTGCCTCTGCAAGAGCAGAAAATGCATCCTCTCTCCTCTCTCAGCTTGGAGAGAATAACACAGTGA